CACCCAAAGATATATTTTACTCACAATATCGTTTTCATGCACATAAAGACATTAGGATTCTGACTGGATAATTTTGATATGAATTTAGTATACTATACCAAATGACAGAAGTTTAAACTGATTTGAGACTATGATATGAAGTAGAGATAAAAACTGAAACAAGGATATACAATCATCTTCCCATTGTAAGATGCATGCATATTTTATTTATTTATTTATTCATTCATTCATTCATTCATTCATTCATTCATTCATTCATTCATTCAGTTTCTATGGCTGCCCATCTACAATAAATGACTCTGGGTGGCTAACAAAAATGTGAAAAAAAACCCAATACAACCTATATTGTTATATTCTAATGATATAATATTACTTCCATAGCACAGAACTATGTGCAACTCTGCATGAGGTCCGTTTCTAAGAAAAGCAAGACCCCGAAGCAATATTACAAGGTGTCCCTTTGTAAGGAAACAATGTCACAGTCTGAGGCCAATCCTATGTGACTGGCCATTCTTTATAGCCTGCACCTTTCTTGCAATACGATTATACCTCTGTGAGAAAAGGAACAGATCTTAGCAATATTCTATCTGCCTTTCTAATTCCAAGCAGCCCTGAAGATAAATAACAAGCCAAACTTCAAAGTACTGGAAGATATGAAAATGTGTGTTCCATACTTGGTAGAAATCCATACAGTGTACAAAAGGAAAAGAATTCATAAAGAATTCCTTTAACAGGTAAATTGCATGAAAAGATTTGCCATTCTCCTTTTAATTAGGTTGCTTCTTATCATTGGTAAGGCACTGAAGTATCCTTGTCAGAAAGGCAGTAATACCAGTCTTTCCCTATGTGGTGGTATACAGACACATGGAAGGGATTATTTTAGTCTTTTATCTAAGAGGATTACAGGATAAATGAATAAAAAAATCCATTCCAGTGAAATGAAATTGAGTTTGAAAAAGGGGTGGATATTGCATGGCATGACACACTAATTTCTTACACCATAAAAATAAAGAAGTAAAAATGAAAAACAGACTGGATAGAAAATTGAAACAAAATATTGTGTTTTAGAGTACACTGAAAACGGTGTCATAGCACCAGCATTTTTCATTTATGGAAAACTGACTTACTGTTTATGATGTGGATCAAGATATCTTCTTTTTCTCAAAATTCACGTTCCTGTAAGAACAAAACCATGGGAATGTTATTGTTTATATTAAACAATATAAAGCTATGAAGTACCTATGAGTACCATTCTTGGAATGGAAAAACAGAGACGGGCCGCTTATACTCTTCTTAGAAATGAATTCAACAATGTAAACTAATCAAATGAAAATGGCAGCATACAATAAATAAACAAACCCAGCATGGCCAATAGTCAGGGATTATATGAGTAATTATATCAAAAAGGCCACAGAGTACCTGGACCTGTAGTAAGGCCATTAAATAACTTTTTATCAGGATTTGCAGGGAATCATCTGGAGCATATATAAACAATAGAAGTAGTTAGAAGATAGAACCCAATAATAGGCCGTCAGCTAGGAAAGGGTAAGTTTCCAGACTTCTGTCACCTCTTTTCTTCCTCTGATATTTTCTATTCTCTTTCTCAAGTAGAAGGCTGCAGGATAAGAATAGAGAGGTCTTGGTCTGAACTGATCTTCTGCACACAGCGGCTTAGTCCAAAGTCTGCATGAAATCAATCCCAGGAACGCATGAAGCTCTAGAGACACAGACTGCCTATCCCTGTCATACAATAAGATTTTGTGCTATTCTGCCACTATCTGCTCCAAGTATTATTGGCTGGACATAACTGTAGGATAAAAGGAAATAGTACTGTGGCCTTCCAAATTAAAAGACACGTTGTCACCTTTGGCAGAGCTCTGTTTATCAGATGCAGTGGTTAGGATGATATTTTTAGGCTATGTACAAGGGACGGGTTTTCCGCACATAAGTTTCACATTGGAGATGTACAGATAATCTTCAGTGAGAAAAAATGTTTCTTTCATAATGCTATTGTGCCTATTATTGCTACACAATTGTACAGATGTTTTGTCAAAATATAAAAACCTCAATTGTTGTTTTGTAAGGGTTATGATTATGAATTAACTTCTATATGGTAAAGATGGGAGTGGGGACTAAGTCAGCTTTTCTTTCATAGCCACATTAGAAAGCCAAAATAAAAGAATGTTTCTGGTTATAATTTTTTCCATTGCAAAATCAATAGCTACATGGTTTGCTATTACATGGCTTACATCGTTTGCTATTAACTTTTAAGTTTTGGCCTTGCAAAACTATTTTGAAGATAAGACAAAGATAGGCGAACATGAAAGGGGAGAAGAATTGCTGGACAATGTTTATATGAATATTTTTTTTAAATGACACTGTAATAGGTTTTTAAATAGAACGGTAGTATAAGGAAAGTTGAAAATGAATAATAAATACAACTACTTGAACATTAATCAATCTCATAATTGTATGTACCTGTGTGTCATGTAATTATATAAACAGATGAAAGAAAGGAAAGATGTATTAATTTTATCTGTTTAATTTAAAATATTTCATGTTGCTGTATATATAAAAGATCCCATAATAATAAACTGCCCTTTCCCAACCCATAATAGTAAAACATTCTTCCCTCCAATTCTAAAAACCTGAAACCACTGCTGTCTCATAAAAACAAGGACAATAAAATATAATTTTGCAAAAATAGTGTCCATTTGCTTCTGTTTTCTTATATTTAAACAAATAATATTTTATATAATGCACTGGAACATTAAATCAGCCATCCATAGCTATGTTTCCTATGAGTCCACTGCACAGGGTGAAATCTTGTAATGACAACTGTATTTCCTAAACTGCTATTGCAACATCTGTCAACTACAAGATCCCAAATTCATTTCAATAATGTTGCAGAGGAGATAAGATTTTTTAAAGACTTTGTTTTCATGAGAAATACCAATAGAATAAAATGATTTTAGCGATGACTGACTGCTTTTTGCAATATCACATCACAACACATTCAGTATATTTTTATAACTGGAAAGGATTCCTTCAAGACTCTGGAGCAATCATGTACATAATGCGCATCGTATATTTAATTTCCTTGTAATATTCTATGAGTTGGGATGAGTGGTTTCACTGAGATTTGATTTTGGTGAAGCCTGAAGACAAATAGAATGAAAGAATTAGTCAAGAGCAGAAGGAAAAGGAAAAAAAAAGCATTGGCATTACATATCGAGTGAATACATAGGAAAGAATTAAAGGAATAACATATTTAAGATTTTGAAGAATTTATCTACATATATGTGTCATCTGCCCACTATATTTAGAGAATAAATTGTATGGTACATGTAAATTCCTAATATGAGACCATACATACTTATTTTAGTGGGTACTATATCACCACTACTCACTATAGAAAGCAAACAGCCTTGGATTCCTAAATGATCCATTCCAGCTATATGATTCTATGTCTAAAAAGAAAACTTGGAAAAAATTAAAAATGGTCAGCAAAGTAGTATGCTTGAATTAAATGAACTGCTATATTTAGAAACTGTAATAAACAGATTTTTCCAATAAATTGAACTGGTAGATAAATTAAATAAATATTGTCAAGATTTCCATGCTTTGTTTGGTTTATTATCTGCTTAAGAATGTGATGTTATATAGAACATATAAAATACATAAACTTCATTGTTTATCTTAAAAGAACATACTGCAAATAATTCTCTGTATACCAAGAAATGGAGAGACTGTGATTACTTCCTCCTTAAATTGATAGTTGGACTATGAACACCTACTGTCTTCATTTAACTTTGATATGTTCTTTTAGGAAGAGTTTCAAAGATGAATGGTCCTGGCTGTTTAGCTCATAAACTCTGAAATGGCCCTTAGATGACAAACTCTGGAAATTACCAATGAACTCTCCATCTGCCTGAAGTTGCTATACAATGACAACTACAAATGGATAGGACAGGTGTATACAATGATAGGAACAGAGAGGCAACCATCCAGTAAAAGAACTGATAACACATATTTCTATATTACTTATGTAGAAAAAATCCAATAAATATTCAAAGTGCTTAGAAAAGTAGAATGAACAAAATGCCTTTGGGCTTCTTCACTCTGTTAAATGGTCTATTTCAACTGAAAATATGAAGGACTAGGAGATGAAGGCAAAATGTGGTAGCTGTGTGGTGTATCAGCATTATCTTTTAAGTGCTGATTCTAATATGAAGTCAGAAAACCATAAAGCTTTCTTTTTTTAGGCAGCAAAAGTCTAAGGAAGGCAACTACATATGTAATCGAAACAGCAGCCTCAGTTCAGAATTCAAAAAGCATGCACCTAAGTAGCAGGATTATTTCTGAGTAAATGAGGATCCTGCATTATCTTGGTTACTTTTTAATCTCCAAGAAAAATGTTCAGTCCTAAATTGCAGGTGATGGTTAGCAACTTTACACAGTACACTTTAAAAAACTTTGTGTCCCTGTAATTTTAACTTCTTTAATTTTATACTTAATTATTTCCAGAAGCTATAAAGTACTTTGTAAAAATGAGCAATCGTTTACCAGAGCCAAAAGAAGTTACAGCACAGATCTATAGATTAGCACAGAGAGTTAAAAAACACAATGTGGATCCCATCACAACCTCCATTTAAAATACTATCCATTCAGGCACAGATGGATTGCTATAGCAACAGAATCCCAAATACCAGGTAACAAAAATGTAAATTATTGATGGACTCAGAGTTGTCTCTCTTGGACACTCTGTCACTGACAAAGCAATCCTTATGCTAACTAGTACAGAAAGAAGCTTGATAACAATTTTTTTTTTTTGCAGCACAGTGAGTGCTTAATCTGGAGGGATTTCATTAAATCTTATGGCTCAAAATTTTATTCTTACAGCAGCAGGCAGCAAGCAGAGACTACAGCTGAAATGCCACCATTCAAGTCATAGCTCCCTGAAGTCAAGAATTTGCACTAACACGACAGAAACTAAATTTTGAAAGCACCTGAGGGAGTCTACATAGATTTCATTTTGAACTCTGCTGACTGACAACTTTAACCATAATAACAGTAGTGGTCAGCAATATACAGAACAAAAGAAAAACCTGCAAATATTTTAAAAACAATAAACAAGGCAGAGAGAAGAGAGAAATAAAATGAGCAAGTTCTCAAGAGTAAATGTGCTTCCCTGGGCATTTTCCAAATTTCAGAATGACTCCAAACACTATCCAATCCTTGTTGTTCTGCTATAAACTTCAAGCATAATTAAACCATACTATTAAGAGTACTGTGATGAAATATAAATACAGCATGCTTTATGCTTATACTAGTGGGCTTGACAGAGCTCCTCTAAGTAGAGCAATTTAAAAATTAGTATATATTTATTACCTTTACACTGGATGCTATTTTATGAACAGTGAACAAGGATTGTTATTTTGAAACATTTATGTATGTGTGTCTTCAAGTCATTGTTGACTCATGGTGACTGCTCGGACAAATCTCTGCAGTTTTCTTGGCAAGATTTCAGAATCTGTGGTTTGCCATTGCCTGCTTCCTAGGGTGGAAAAAGAGTGACTGGCCCAAGGTCACCTGGCTGGCTTTGTGCCTAAGGCAGGATTAAAACTCACAGTCTTCCAGTTTCAAGCCTGATACCTTAACCACTACACCAGATTGGCTCTTTTGAAACATTTATACCCTAAAGGAATATAGTGTATAGATTGGATGATCATGGGTGAAGTTACTTTCAAGTCAATGATAGCAATTTCAAATGCAGATATCAGTAAAAACTTTATGGTTATAGAAAAATTCTTCCAATCATTGCAAGTATGGAAATACTATTAGGTGTATTTACTTTTAAAATTTTAATTGTTTTAAAGGATAAATAAAATACACGCAAATATAATAAAATTAAATTTAAACTGTATTGTTTTTGTTTATCTTTGTATTTTATTTTGTTGCTTTAATTGTTCTGTATTTTGTTACATCCTTGGCAGATGCAATTCATGCATGAATAATCAACCCCAAGTTCAAACTATATGCCTTACAATAAAAGCTAACCTACAGAAAAACTGTCTGGTAACAAGGACTTATAGTTAAATAACTATTGATATATTTTTACTAGTGTACATGTATTGTATCAAAATGGATCTTTAAAGTCTCCCGGT